TAAATATAAATATAAATATAAATATAAATATAAATATAAATATAAATATAATGTTCTCACACTAACCATAACTGGACAATACAAGTTCTTTTAGAAGCATAGGACTAAAAAGCATTCAGTCATAGGTATCACTAAACTGCAGCATTACAACAGAAGTTTCATCATTAAAGGACACAGAGATAGAAGAGATAGAACTTTTGGTTGAGTGGATTTGAAATGAAGGCATGACTCTGAGCCCTTTTCCTGCCTTCAACAGTTATTTCTTTGCCTCCTGGTGGACTTGGGAAGGGAACCAGCTCTAAATTCCCTGTTAGATGCCTATTGCTGATTGGAGCAGCAAGTGTGTTTATAGCTATGGCTGTTTCATTTGGCCAATTCTCAGCATACTTTAGAAAGGTCTCATTTCAATCATATCTCTGGACCGGATTGCCACTGGACTCAAACAATTGTTACCAGGTGGATTACTGACCAACCTCTTCCCGTCTAAAAGGAGAACAACTTGAATGATGGACTGAGATACATTTTGAATGACTCTCAAAAGCCCTTTCAGAAGACTGTTGTGTTTTTTAACTAGGTCTGTGTTCAAGTATGTATCATTGATCTTTTCTTATAATGAGAAAAAAATGGTGTCAGAATAACACCAAGTTGATCCACTGTGGTAATATTTTTAATGTCCTTCAATGACAGGGGCATGAATAGATGGACAATGGAACAGTGGATAAAGATCACAAGGGTAACAAGATGCCATCATTCACCTTAGGAACTGTTTGGTAAGCTCCGCGTTGGGAGAGCTTCAGTACAATAAACAGCTGTCTGTATGCGGTATTGCGTATCAACACCAGCTTCCCTTTAGCTACATCTGGTACACTCTGGGCCCATAACTAGTGTTAGGTAAGCTCTCCATTGGGAGAGTGAGTACGTTCAGCGAAGCGTTGCAAGAGTTGTGTTGGAGAACACACAAACCAGCATACAGATATACTGCAGTTTAAATAGACTTTTACTTTCGTGGAGATAGAGGTATCAGAGTCCATCAAACAGTCCAAGTCATACACATACAAGACAGTAAGTCATCAAAGTCTTTCAGTTAAGGGATAATCCAAATAACATAGTCCAATATCATATAATCAGTTCAGAACTCAAAGTTTGCTAGCAGTTGCAAAACTTACAATAACTCACGGCACTCAGATCAGATCAGCCCAGCATCCAATGAACCAGAGTGCTAACAGGCATTCTGGCTCCCTCTTATGGCCGATTGAGGAAAAACAGCAAGCAATCACATTTTACAGTATGATTTAAAGAAACAGGTATAGCATTGTTACATGATTTATATATTGCCAACCCAACCGTTAGAATTATATTCCTAACAGGAACTCCATTTATTTGATCAATTCACTATAGCAATAGAAAAGACAATACAAATCTACAGTGTCTCATAGAGACTAGTAAACTCAAACTAATTCTTTTTATCAGGGAAAGTACAATGCACAATGAACCCAAGAAATCTGATGTCAAATCACAAAAAGATTCATATACATCACAAAACTACATGCAGTCACATAACAATAGCCAATTTCTCACTAAATGTTGACTTTGATTTCTGCAGAAGTCCTATTATTACTTTCCTTTATCTCCCCCCACCCACCCAATTTGTATCTTTATGCGGGATAAAATGTAAAGTTTTCATTCTACCACTCCTTTAAAGAAGATATTATTTTGAACAAATTGGGCATTAATTAATTATAAAACAGACAGAATAGATTTCTTTAAGAAATTATCACTTTTGATCTAAACATTTCTCTTTGGGAACAGAGATAAGCAAATGGGTACTCAGACTGCTTACTAAATTCTACACATTTAAAATCAAAATTCTGTTTTGCTTTTCAAAATCAGCTGCTCCTTTTTATTGAGATCAGGTCGAAAAACAATAATGTAGCACTTGGGGAAAAAGATGCAACCAAGCAGTCCAGCACTGGAGGCCAAGATGGAGAAGACCTGCACAGCTACCATGTACTTGCCCTTGGTGCTGAGGTAAGTGGGTACAAAGGAGATCCAAACGCTGCAGAAGACCAGCATGCTGAAGGTGATCAGCTTGGCTTCATTGAAGGCCCCAGGCAGCCTCCGAGCCAGGAAAGCTACCAACAAGCAGACAGCTGCCAGGAAGCTCATATAGCAAAGTGCAACATAAAACATGGTGACTGACCCTTCATTGCACTTCAGGACAATCTCTCCTGCCTGGGAATCCATATCCGAATCTGGGAATGGGGGAGCAGTACCCAACCAGATACTGCAGATCAGAACTTGGACAACAGAGCAAGAAAAGACAATAGAGTTACCCAAAAGCTTCCCCAGCCATTTCCTCACACTATTCCCTGGCTTGGTGGCTAGGAAGGCCAGCACCACCATGATGGTTTTGGCCAAGAGAGAAGAGACAGCCACTGAGAAAATGATGCTGAAGGCTGCTTGTTGCAGAAGGCAGCTAGTTTTCCTTGGCTGCCCAATGAAGAGGAAGGAAGACAGAAAGGAAAGCAGGAGGGAAATGAGGAGCAGGTAGGAGAGGTCCCGGTTGTTGGCTTTGACTACGGGAGTTTCCATGTGCTTAACAAAGATGCTTAAAACAAAGCCGGTGTTCAAAGAGAAAAGTAAAGCAAAGGAAGTAAGGATGATCCCCAAATCTTCTGTGTAGGATAGGAAGACTATCACCTTAGGAACACACTGATCTCGGTCCTTGTTGGGGTGCTGATCCTCAGGGCATCTCACACACTGTTCAGCATCTGCAAAAAAACAAATGCACCACCTACCTTCTTTAGTATGGTGGAGAACATTCAATAATAAAGAAGTTAAATGTTACGTTTAATTACACTCCATAAATATGGGGTTCACCTGCTTTTAATGAACTTTACATGCATTGAATGTGGGGAATTGCTAAAAGGATTATTTGGAGATATTGGAAATGAATTTTTATTTCATATATTAAGGATTGGATTTATGACTAGTGTTACTTAGAGAGTGTTGGAAGAAATGTCCTTCTGGGTTGAAATCAGCTTTGCTGAGGGATGACATAGGAAAACCAATTTGGCTAAATAAAGGTACTTAAAAATAAAGGGAAAATGGTGGGTTTTGGGGGGTTTCTTTTATCTTATCTGTCTCTCACTCTATCTTCTATGAAACCATGTGGTTTGTTTGTTAAGATTTGTGCCTTCCCTAATTTAACTGAGATTCATGGCGGGAATGCTTATGCGTGTGTGAAACTCATGAGTTTTGTTATCCCCTCTTTTTCTGTGTATGCGCGTGCATGGATGTCTAAGTCTTTGTGTGCCCTCAAGGTAATTGTAACTGTAAAATGTAAAAGAGGTTGCAGAAGTTTGCAAAAAGATGTTAAATTAATTTTTGTTATTGAATTTGATTTGGGGTGCCTGAAAAACTGCCATGAAAGATTATTGTATACCATGTAAATGAGGTAAAAAAAAAGAAAATCTCAAGGAAATAATGCCTATTCTGAGATTTAAAACTTGTCAGTTGAATCATCAGGAGACACTGAACAATAAAAAGAACTTTGTTGAACCTTTGCAAAAGTCCCCCTTCCCCCGTGCTCAATTTTAGCCACAAAGGAGATGAAGGAATACCTATGAATATCGGATTTAAATACAATTCCAAAGAAGACAGACCTCCTGTCACACCCCTTATTATAATTGGTCAGCTCACTTTCTATACGTTTTATATAACAGTTTATATGACAGTTGTTTTCCCTGACAGTTGCAACATCTTTATCATAACAATATTACAGTTTTATCATGACAGCTGCTTCCCTGCCAATGTTAGCCTGAGCTGACCTGCCCTGGAATGTTAATCAATTTATAGTTTTATTATTCCCCTACAAAAACTCCCTTACACAACTTCTTAGCTTAATGTCTTACAGATGGTGTATTAGGTTATACAGGGTTGAAACATGGCTGTCCTTTTACTCTCTTTTAACAGGAATAATTCCCATTACTCTCACCTATGATGACATGAAATTAAGAGGAAAGAGGAGGATTTACCAAAAGCAGCAGCACTTTCCACTATTTTGCACCAAATTAAATTTTACACCAGGAAATATCTATATTAGTTAATATAACTTTTCAGAATCCCTGTGTGGTTTTTATTCAAATCTCTATAAAGGACAAAACATTTCCCTGGAAAACATTGATGAATTTCTTTAAAAAAAACAAGAATTGACAGAAGTTTCAAAAATTGAGAAATATTTTTCACACTATAAGATGCACTCCCCCCCCCAAAAAAACGTGGGTAGAAATATCTTTGCATCTTATAGAGTGAATATTGCGGTGGGAGGGAGATGGTTGCTGTGTCGTCATCGTTCATCGCTGCTGCCTGTCACCGTTGCTGCCGCTTGTCACCACTTCTGCCATTCACTGCCACCAGGGAGCACAGGAGCCTTCACTGCTGAGCAGCTGATTGTCTGTTGGATCAGCCTCCCAGAATACCACCGATCAGCTGTTCTAGGTGGTGAGGATCACTGTTCCTGCCAATCATTGCCACCGTTTGCCGCCACTGCCTATCACCGCTGTTGTCAAATGGTGATGGTGAGTGGCAGTGGTGCCGATTCCTGCTGTTTAGAACATCCAGAAGACTTGTATGTTTAGTAATGAAAAAAGAAATGATTTGGAGCCCTGTGAATATACTAACAAGCAACAAGTGATTGCTAAGATATATATACTGCTGATCAGGGACGTGCAGTCACTAGAGGCAAGGGAGGCGGGGCCTCACCAGTCCCCTCAGGAAAAAGAAAGAATTTTAAATAATTTTTTAAAAATAATTAAAGCCAAGATAGTTGCTACCAGATTCCAAGTCACAGTGGCTTGGTGTCTGCTTAGTGTTAACCAAAGCAGGAGGCGAGAGAACTCGGGCCCCCCTTTGTATAAGGAATTTTTCGCCTTCTAAAAGTTAAGAAAGAGTTAAAAGGCAAAAAAGTTCATATGCAAAAGAGGCACTAATTCTCCCACCTCCTGATCTGGGAGCAGTAAATCATGTCTTGTTGTTGCAGTTGAGCACGCTTACGTTGGGCGGGTTATTTCGAGGGCACACTTCAGAGGAGAGAGGAGTGGGGGAGAAGGAGGAGGCTCGCCCTTCACCCCTCCCTAACTTTCCCAGGGTCCAGATTCCCTTCGCTGCAAGCCTTGCCGTCTCTTGCATCCCAAAGGTGTGTGGGTGTGGGAGCTTTGGTGGCCCCAATTCTTCTCTGGGGGGGGGGTGTCTCGTGGGGCTGCTGGCTAGATAGACTCCTGAGGAGCAACCCCTTCCCTCCTAGTCCCCCTGTGGGTGGCTGGAAATGTCCACACATTTCAGCCAGCCATAAAACACTTAGCTGGGGGTTTCCTTGAAGAGCCAGGTGGGAGAAGCCCTCGCTTCTTTTTTGTGGAGACAGGCACTTTGCATTGCGGGAGCTGCCAAGCATCTTTGCTGCAAGCCTGGGCACTTGGCGGCTCCCATGATGCAAAGTGCCCCGCTGCCCCCGATGCCGCCACCCACCCGCTGCAAGCCGGCGGATCACTCGGAAGCCACGCTGCAGGCCTCCTTGGAAAGGGCGCGGTGTGGCTTCCGAGTGATCCACCGGCTTTTCCATTTCCTGGCCCAGCGCCTCCTTGCAGAAGTAGCTGCCACGCGGCAAAGCGGCCCAAGGCAGCAGGAATGCCCCGCTGGGCGAAGGAGGGGCGGTGGTGGTGGCAGCGGCTGCTTTAAGCGCTGCCTTGTCTCACAGCTGGGGCCGCTCCGGGCCACCGGCCGCTGGCACGCGCTCCTGCAAGAGCTTCTGTGCAGCGCTGGGAGGCCGCAGAGAAGCTTCGCTCCGCTTCTCACTCAGTCTTCCCCCAGAGGCGATCCGGGACTTCCAGCAGCGGAGCCTGGAGAAGCAGCGGCCGCAGGCCGGGGCAGAGGGCAGGCGGCGGCATTGGGTGTGGCGGAGCACTTTGCATTGCGGGAGCCACCAAGCGCCTTTGCTGCAGACCCTGGTGCTTGGCGGCTCCCGCGATGCAAATCCACCCCGCCGCCGCCGAGGCCGACGGCTGCCCTGCTGAGCTGCTTCGCAAAAGGCTGGGAAGGAACTCCGCTGGAGCTGGCGAGTCTTTGAAGAGATGCCCAGCTGAGCCTCACCAGGCATAAACATCACCGCACGTCACTGCTGCTGATGAAAAAGAACAACAAGAAGGGAAAGATCATGCATGGATGTGTGTATCATTGACACTTAACACCTGATAAGCTCTTGTAGATAGTTAAGGGTTTATACTATTTTTGAAATAGACATTATTGTTTAAAAATACTTGAGGTGGAGATGATAAATCCAGCTTTTTATAATTCTGTGTTTTTTATTTTTCCTTTCTACTCTTTTAATAATGATGTCCTTCTCTTTTATATTTTAAAGTGTTTTTTGTACATTTTAACAGTTGGGTTGGGTTTTTTGGTACATCTGTACACTTTTAAAGAATATAATGAAACCAGTTTTCAAAACACAGCTCTCTTTCATTGGAAGAGAAACTTTCCTCTGTTTTATAAGTGTGAAAAAATAAAAAAGTGAGATAAGCTAAGAACCAATTACACTGGTAGAAATAATTGGGGATATTAAAAACTAAGAAGACATGGAGAGCTTATCCCAATGAAGTCACCCACCTTCCTGAGTGGAGATGGTCCCTCTAGCACATGGAACACAACTGTAACAGCAAACTGGCTTCATGGGGTCCAGCAGCCTGACAAATCCAGGTAGGCAACTATCCACACACTGAGACTTTGGCATGGGCTGAAGATAAAGAAAAAGTGCATTCAGTGAAATAGGTGCAGCTGATGTCTCTGTGAAAAATGGCATAAAGTAGAAAGACCCAAGAAAACATCTGGCCCAACTAATAATTTGTGGAATATAATCTTGAATAATTGAAAGAATCATAGGTGAATATAGTACA